GAACCTATATTGCACGTGTAAGTGAGCTTGGGGTGGAAGATCCTTGAGGACCCCTTGTCTTACTGAGATTTCTGTTTAGAGATTTCACCCCACGTTTGGGGCACATATTTCAGGTTCAGGTAATGCGGGGGTTGAGACCTCTAGCGGCAGGAGGCTGGAGCTTAGCTGATTTATATGCTGTATGCTGATTATGTTGGATGCTGGATTATGTCTGTTGCTATTTTGCTGTTAGCTTTATGATTATGGTGCTGCTGTTGAGACTATGTTGGGCTTGTCGCCTTATTTGGTGAGCATGGGGATTGTCAATGCCACATTGATTGACTATGTCTTAGTTTAGATTCGAGTTGTAATAATGTATCAGGATATTGTCTGGACTACGTGTTGTAATTTCGTGATTTAAATACTCACAGTTATTTATATATTGATGTACTTCAGTTAGTTGTCTATTTGCAATTTACATACAAGCAATATTTTTGGAAATGAATTAAGTAATTCAACTTGGTAATGATAATGACGTCATAATTGAAAGTAAAAAGTTATTCGGCAATTTTAATTAAGTGTGGCTTAATACGATGGCATGTTAACAAACCGAGTATACACGGGGTGTTACAATAAGCTCAGTGAGATAAGCTCCTAGTTCTAGTGGCTCCTCTCTCTTGTGGCCCCATCATGATGGTGGGCATTATGATTGTATTGTATGAAAGTATGTGGAATAATGTATATGTGCATTCATTCACATTCATATAGATGTTATATGATTCTTGATGTTATGATGATGCACTGATGATATATGTTATGAGAATCCTAGCCAATGATTATGGTATGTAGGCTGCCTATAACTTGACTCTGGGAGCTATTGCATACAGAGGTTGTGTTGACTGTCTATGGCTTGACCTTGGAGTCACACACGTGTAACCGTCTACGGCTTTGACCCTGGGGTTACACAAGGATGATATGATGATGCTATGTTTATGTTGAATGCCTGTATTATATGCTTTATATCTGACTTGTCATGCAGAATGTATCGCCCGGCCGCTTCAAGAATCAATGATTATCCCCACATACTAACACGAGACCCCATCACTAGAAGCCTTCCAGGAGCCACTCCTTGTCCATGCCCTTTTGCACCGGCGATCATTCCCCGCCCTCGTCAGCGCCCGGGATGTTACACAGGAAGTGGGCTCAAGGGATTAGAGGATCCTCTATGAACCTTGAGCTTACTGAGATGTGTTATCTCACCCCGTTTGGGGACATCATTTCAGGTACCTAGAGTAGTGGTGATGCTTCTAGGGGCAAGGTCCTCGCTTTGGAGTAATGGATGACGCTACTGATTTCTTTTACCATGATTAGACTTGATGATAGCATGTATATTTGTTAACATGCTTATTTATCGTAGGTTGAGACTATGTTATGTATTGATTTAGGCTCACGACTGTATTATTGGAGCCATGGATTATTTATTGATGTTTAGACGTTCTCGAATTTAATATAGACTTGATGTATGTTTTCTGTTAATTGGGCATGGAGCCATATTGTTTGTATTGACCCATTGAGGGAATTGCAGTTCGTGTGAGACTTGCAAGCTGTCTGTTTAATTATTGTATCTATCAGGTTGTGTATAACACCTCTTACTTATAAAACATATATTAATATATTAAATATGGATAAAAGGGAAGGATTAGTGAAAATTTTGAAAATTAGGTCAAAATACAAAGGAAGGGTAAAACGGTAATTAGCCAAACATGTAACCCTAGGAAGGTAAAATTGAGTAGGAGGTCTCAAATGATAAAAATAACCCTGGAAATGGATTTAGAACGAAAAATTGAGTGGTTAGGCAAGTTTCTGAAAATTCGGTGAATAATATTTTTACTGGGTAAAAATACCGCGGTACAGTTGCACCGTAAAATGTGCCGATTGAATTTTGAGCTCTAGGTTTGAATATAAGTTATAAATGGTACATAGGACTAAGAAATATGATTTCTGGTAAAAATTGACAGAAATTAGTGAGTTTGGGGAAGTGTGCCCACAGCATGCATAACAGCTTAAAACTGCAATTTCTCCGAACGACCGAAAAAACTCCAGATTCATCTGATCAAGGGCAATTAAAGGACAATGGTTAACGTTAAGAATTAGAGTTTTTAAATAGGTTATGAAATTATGCACGTTTAGTGGAATAGGCGGGAGATTTGAATTAGTTTGAAATCGCGTGAGGTGGCGGTGGGGCCCACCTCACTTAAGTGGACTTAGCCACTTGTAAATACACTATTTATCATCACTTTCAAACACTCTTCTCTCTTCTAAAACCGTGAAGAACACCAAGAAAAGGGGGAAGGAAGACTTGGCTTGATTCTTGATGATCTAGCCATCGATTTCAACAAAATTTGTCATCAAACTTCAATTAAACGACGATCCGGACACAACCATACCATCCACAAGCCTTGAAACTCACTCATTTGGGAGGGAGGAGGCAAAATCAGCCACAAAAATTGGAGGGATTTTTGTGAATTTGGAGTTGTGTGTTCAAGCCATTGCTTGGGAATCACTTGGAGGGGTACAACGCCAAGCTTGTGAGTATATTTCAACCTCTTTTATAGCTTGTGAGCACACTAAGAAGTCTCGGGTGTATATGGATGGAGGGTGCCTTGGTTGATGTTTTGGGAACACTCCTTGGTTTGGAACCCGTAGGCTATATACCGAGGCCAATAGGCCGGACGTTGCGTAGTTTTGGCATTGACCATTCCAGGTTCGTCGTATTTTGTTCCCCTATGTTTCGCTACTTCACTAAATCCCTTGCTTTATCCCGTTTTTTAAATGTTGTATTATGTTATTGATATGCATCGAAGTGAGCCATTAGGCGGAGTATTCTCCAGAACCTCTGGGTTACTGAGATATATCCGTATCTCTCACCCCGCTTTGGGGACTTTAATTCAGGTAGTGCCAGTGGAGTCGGAGCGGCGGGCAAGAGGCCCGTAGGTTGAGCTTGGACATATAGCCATTTTGCATTTTGTGGCCATTGGGCCTAGGCTAGACTTAGGGCATGAACATTATATGTAGTGTTAGGCTTATGCATTGTATCATCGATGTTCATGCCATATTTTGTCTAAGTTTAGCTTATGTTTATCATGATTTATTTTGGTGGATTATTATGTATATTTGGAGAATTGTTGTAATATTTGTAAAGAAGCTTGTAAATTGTATTATGGGAACTTGATGTAATATTGAAGCATGCTATATGATGAAAGGGCAATAGGCCTATTCTAGGATGTGATTTAAGTTTTATGTCAAGAAGAATGCATTCAAAGGAATAAAAGTGATTGAAATGATTTATGGTTTTATGATGAAATGATTGAGTCGTAAAGTAAGTAAAATGATATAAATTGTGAAGGGTTGTAAGAGCATCAAGGCATTGCTGGTCCTTGAGTTCCACCCATGATTATTAGGTACAAAATTGAGGTTAGATAAAACACCTTCAAAGGTGGGATTTATTGGAAAAACAAAGAAAACTCTAGCGAATTTTCTAAGAATTAGCAGAATTTATGTGAACTTTGGGAGAGCATATCTCCCTCTACAAAAGTCCAATAGGGACATTCCATACGCAATTTTAAGGCTTGAGATGTCAACTACTTTGTGTCAAAATTTGAGTATCAAAGGTGAACTACGCTGCCCTGTAGAAGCCTGTGAACACGGACTATCCAGAACGCACCTGTGCAGGGGCTGTTTCTGGCAGTTTTTGAGAATTTTATTCCCGCTTCGTTTCTTGGTCAAGTTAGGTGTGTGATATGTCAAATTGAAGCTTGGGGTGTCTGGTTTACTGTATAAAAATGTGAGAGAAATTAGTTGAGTGTAGTTTGCAGAATCGTTGATGGAGGGAGGGCTGTTTGGAACCTGTTTGAGGTTGGCTGTCAGGTTTGCTTGTCCAACTTCAAACGGTAATATTCGAAGCAAACGAGAACTTTATGACTCGTGTGATAGCTTGTTAGAAAGGTAATTAAGTGTAGAATAACATACTGAAAGATGAGAGGTTCGCGACATGCGTTTCGTCTGCAGTAAATTAAAGATCGAACCATGTTCGGGTAGGTAGAAAACGTAAAAGTGAGATTTTAGCTAAGTGGGTTTATGGGAACCCCTTAGGGGGCGTTTGGTTGAGGAATTTTTTTTTGAATACTAGGGAAATGTAATTGATAGGGAAATGGTTGGAAAAAGTGTTTGGTAGGAAAATGTAAAAAAAGTTGTTTGGTTGGAAACAATTTAACCGAGCAAATTAGGTAAGATTTATAAAGTCTATGTTTGGTTTGAGGTAAAATATAGATGGAGAAATAAGTGGCAATTACGAAAATGTCCCTGTTTTTAAAATAATTGTAAATTACGAAAGTCTATCATGGTCCTGAAAACAATTTTTAATTTTATGTTTTCACAAGATAGTGGCATCATGGTGTTATGGATTGGATAATTTACAGCTTTTGTGTATGAGAAATCATTGTTTACATAAATCTACAACTTCACAATTAGTTTTCTAATACAAAATGGAGGGTCACTTTGGTCACAATTTTCACTTTCAGTTTTCTACTTCCCTAGTTTTCCATAAATACCACATCTCAAGAGGTATTCTTAAATAGTGAATTTGAGCACAAAATCAACTGAAATATATAGTTTCCTATGCAAACTTCTTTCCTAGACTTTTTTTCATAAACTTGTACCAAACATAGCATTTTGGGATACCAACCCACACTTCCCCATCTATCCCAAAAGAAAACCTCAACCACACCCTTAGGGGGCGTTTGGTTGGGGATAAATTTTTGGAATACTAGAGAAATAAAATTGATAGGGAAATGGTAAGAAAGTGAGATAGATAGGAAAATATAAAAAAAAGTTGTTTGGTTGGATAAAATTTTACCAGGTAAATATATCCAAATTTTGAAAACCTATGTTTGGTTTTGGAAAAAATATAGATAGGTAAATGTTATAAAATTACAATTTGATCCCCGATTTATGTTCCATAGGCGCTCTCAATTTATTGATCTCTGTAACACTACTCCTGATAATTCTGCATTTTTCCGGCTTATGCTGAACCGCGAGGTAGTAGTGGGCTCTCTCATAATGATTCAACCCACGCTATGACAAATATTCATTTGATGGGCCACATGTTCCAGTACTTCTAGATATTCGTTCCGTTTGTCCAGATTTTATCTTGCTCTTTGATTCTTTCTTCCGTGTGGTGATTCATCATGGGTCCAAAATTGATCAGTGGAGGAAGCTTGGTTATGATAAGGACCCAAATCATGAGAACTTTAGAAAGCTGCTGGGAGCCCCAGAATTGGATGCAGAGCAATTGGTGGCTGAACGGGTTCCAGTGCCAAACCTTCTGACGCTACTTGCGGGAAGGTGAGATCGACAACCACCATGCACCACCTTGCTTTCTTCCGGTCGCTACTTGCGGGAAGGTGCTCTAAGGAAGACAACCTATTGACGCCCTAAGTTGCTGACCACACACACGAGATCTTGCATCGTATCATCTCTGTTGCATTTTGAAAGGGTATATTGGTTACAAAAATGATTCAAACAGTGGTTTAGCCGTGGTTTTACAAAAAACCACATATGAAAACGCTTTTCAAGCAGTACCGATATCTGTCATTTTCCACTTAAATTGAAAAACCTATGTATTTTGGATGCCTGGCTTTTACTCTGAATCTATTCAACCAAACAATGATATTCTGGAATCCTTCTCTCACTTGACTCCAGCCAAACACCACCTTAGTGACTTGAGAGAAGTGTTTTATGATATTTAGATAGTTTAAATAATTATTCCGCAAAGAGTTTACAGTTACGGTCACAGCTTTTATTTATTACGCTTTATTATTGTTTTAAATGCTCGCGTAATAAAAAGGAAAAAAATTACTCGCATTTTTATAAATGAATTGTTGTGATTGTAACTGCGCTTAATATCATAATCAATGTTAACAATACCGGTGTACAACGGGCTATTACATTGTGTATGTGTGGGACCCATGTCCCCAGTTATCCGAATACAGCTGTTATGTTGTCCGTGAAACTCCGTTAGGAATAACACTTGAGGTCATATCCGGATGGTCAACGACCACTAGTGATAGCCATTGATTTTAATTAGTAGACTTCGATGTTAATGTTACGCTAATGCGAAATATCATATGAACGCTTTGAAAATGTTTTAGAAAATATTTTGGAGAAAGTTTACTCGTATTCTTATAAGACGTTTATTATCCTTTTAAAATAAAGTATTTCGCTGTGTATGCTAAATATCATGTATGTTAACAAACAAGAGTATTACGGGATGTTACAAGAAATTCTTTTATAAATTTAATAAAACCAAACATAAATTCATTAATATAACAAAGGATTCACCCATCTTAAACACACTAGTAAATATAAAATCTTATTATAAACATATATTAATGCACCGTAAGCGCAAGAAGTTTTTTTTTTTTTTTTTTGGGATACACAAGAAGTTTTTATTTTACTTGCAAGAGGCAAATTACAAAAGGAAACAAATCAAACTTTGAATGCACAACTAGCAACTGGATAATACGATTAATTCCCCTAAGCAGAAATTGAGGAAATGAAACCTTTAACTACTCCAAATAGTAGTTTTGCTTTAATTGGGTCATATAGCTCTACCGCATGGCGACCCTCTTCCTCAAAGTTACTAACCACTTGAATACCCTTTTCCTCCATTAACTGCACAAGTTCTTTCCCACGGTCTGCAAGTGGGTCTCCACCATTCCCACTCACCAATACCTTCCACCCAAGCTCCTTGATCTTATCCAGTTTTTTAGGACCATCCCCAACCGTTGGATTGGAATACTCATGATCGCGGTCAACCCCAATTGGCAATGCTAGCTCCCACAACATATCGCCAACACACAATGGAATCATAGGATCATTCTCAAGCCTCAACTCGGATTCAGTCCTCTTGGTTCCACCAAAGCTTGGTTGACGCAATATCAACCCTTTGATCTTCAGTGGTTCAAGATCACCAACCTTTTGTGCTGCACGTAGACCTGCATGGTAGACAATAGTAGCGCCAGCACTATTCCCCATCAAATAACAATTAGAATAGTCAACATATTGAGTCAACCACTCATCTTGGCTGCTTCTAATGAAAAGCACCGCTTCCACGGCATCATCATACGCCACCGGCAACCGATGCTCCGGCGCAAGGCGGTATTCCACCGATGCAACAACTGCTTCAATGCTATCTGCCATGTTGACGCAAAAATCATGGAACACGGTGGAAGCAGCACTCCCTAAGATGAAGCCGCCACCATGGAAGAAAACAATGAGAGGTAGCTTGTGGTTTTGGTTGGAAGTGGAATAACCATGAACCGGTATTGCTTTTCGGGGTAGGAATAATCGAACCCAAGTGTTATTTATTTCGTTGATGGTGACATCTTTGGTGAGAACAGAGATAGGAAGAGTGGTATCTGATGAGGGTAAGGTGCGTAGATCAGGAAGCATGCGTGTGAGTGTGCCATCGGGGTTGTAGAAGATTTTGAAATGCTTGTAGGGATCAATGGTTGAAGAAGTTAGATTGGACATGGTAGAATAGGGAACTTGGTGTTTAGCTTCCAAATGAATTGAAGTGAAAGTATAATGCAACCAGATATATAAGAATCAGAAAAATATTGATATGATTAATGCAGATAAGTTATCTGCCTTTATTTTCAAAATGACATAATTTTATAATTAAAATATTAAAAAATTATAATTATAAAGATTATAATAACTCTAAAATAAATTAAAATTACAAAAATATCATTATTTCTGTCTCAAAGTAATATTATATTAGATTTACTGCATATAACTTATCAGCAATAACTAGAAAAAAAAACGAATCTAAGAATATTAGACTATGTCATAGTCTTTGTATTATACATGTGCAATGACGCAATGACTAATATTTCTTGGGACACACTTTGTGTACCTGTAAATTATTCCGAGAATCAGCAGGCGCAAGATGAGCTTAAGTAGGAAACGTAATGTACTACGACTCTCTTACGGATTTGTTACACAACATTTATCTAACAATTAAAAATACATGATTGCAAATTTAAAAAGAAGGAAAAAATGTTTATCTTTTTAAATGACACAACTTATATCTTTTTACTCTCACAAAGAGGTGAGATCCATACTTTTTTTTTTGTCAACTCTCTTTCCTTCTTTATCTATCTATTTCTCTCTCTTAAAATAATATAATTTTATATCCTTTAAAATGACACACACTTTTCTCTTAAAAGAATGCCTTAAAAAGCGCATTTAATTCAAATATTATATTTAGTAATAATCAATCCGTACAGATAATTATTATGTATAAACTTTTCAATAAATTTTATCATATGTAGTTATTTATTGAAAATTCTATTCTTAAAATAAAATAAAAAGTATAGATTAATGTAGGAAACGTAATGTACTACGACTCTCTTACGGATTTGTTACACAACATTTATCTAACAATTAAAAATACATGATTGCAAATTTAAAAAGAAGGAAAAAATGTTTATCTTTTTAAATGACACAACCTTCTTTATCTATCTATTTCTCTCTCTTAAAATAATATAATTTTATATCCTTTAAAATGACACACACTTTTCTCTTAAAAGAATGCCTTAAAAAGCGCATTTAATTCAAATATTATATTTAGTAATAATCAATCCGTACAGATAATTATTATGTATAAACTTTTCAATAAATTTTATCATATGTAGTTATTTATTGAAAATTCTATTCTTAAAATAAAATAAAAAGTATAGATTATTTTCATATATATATATATATATATATATATATATATATATATATATAGGGAAAAATGTTTCCGCAGTTACTGCAGATAAGTTATCTGCATTTATTCCCAAAACGACATCGTTTTGGTATTAAAATTTTAAAAAATTATAAATATAAAGACTGTTATAACCCTGAAATAAATTAAAATTACAAAAACACCATGATTTCAGCCTCAAAACGACGTCGTATTGGGTTTACTGCAGATAACTTATCTGCAGTAACTGCAGAAAAAGCGAACCCATATATATGGGTTTTATGTTTATCATTTAACATAATATAACTTCACTTTCCTACACACACATTAAAGAGGTGAGGTCCACATGTTTTTTTTCTCTTTCATCATTCCACTTTCTCTCTCCCTTTTGATGTGAGAGTTGGAAACAACACTTACATAATGTTACATAACACTAATAAAATCCTATATATATATATATATATATCTCAAATACAAAAAAGTGAAAATATGAAAAAACGGATACACCTATGAGGCAGGTATCGTGATTTCCTTTTTAAAAACGGATACGAATACCTCGACTCATCACATATATTTAATTCTCGTAGATCTTCAGAGGTGTTTATATAAAATTGGAGTAGTGAACCGAAAATACTGTGTTTTTCTATTATTATAATGTATTATATCTAAAGTAGCCCTTATTGGTGATTCCTTCCCTACAAACCCAGACACGAATTAATGTGTGGAAAATAGGAGTTTAATTCTTGTATTCTACTGTATTTTTTATTTTTGGTGTATCACTTTACTTATCTCATACATTTATCTGTTATTAGTTCTTACAATATATTATTTAAAATTTATCAAATATAATGAGCCAACAATAAATGTTTTGCCAACTGATAAAAAATCGAAAACAGAAATAATCCTCATAAAGCATATAGGTCAATGATATATATATATGGTTATTAATTATTGTTAAATATATAATACACCTACTTAATTCCGTGCCTCGTTATGCTGTCTAAGAGCCCGAGCTAGCAACTGACCTTTCCAATTAAATGAGAAATTACGAGCCATGAAAAAATTATTTTAAAATATAATTAGTAAGATAGCTAGGTAATAAATTCAATCTTAAGACTAATAAAAGTTATTGTATTTAAATTTATTTTATTTGTAGTATATATTGCTCCAAATTTACTTTTTTTTTTAACTTTCTTTTCAAACAAAATTTTGAATTAAGAAAAAGCCAATGAAAGAGAATTTGAAGGATTACCATAAAATTCTTTAAAAACCTAAATGATAATTAGAAGATTAATTTTTTTTATATTATCCATCGTTTCATCGATTATTTACTCTCCCCACCATATTTTAACATAGCTCGTCCTCAGGTACTCAAACGTAAGATTACTGGTTACGATAGAACAACCATTTACTAATTGATCAATGTGCTTAGTAATAGAAGATTATTCTTCAAACCATCTTCAATCTCATATAAATATAAATAAATACATTTGCCTACATTAATTGTGATTTGGGTTTCATTATCAATTTTTTCACTTTGTTAAATTAGGGCGTGCCTTCCCTAAATTGACCAAAATTAGGAAAGGGAAATAAAG